GAAGGAAAGAAAGAAAAAAATTTTCTCAAAGAACCAGCTCCTGGCTTTGTTGATTCTTTGTATAGTTCTTTCTGTTTCCATTTAGTTGATTTCAGTCTTGAGTTTGATTATTTCCTGCCTTCTACTCCTCTTGGGTGTATTTGCTTCTTTTTATTCTAGAGCTTTTAGGTGTGATGTCAAGCTGCTAGTGTATACTCTCTCAAGTTTCTTTTTCGAGGTACTCAGAGGTATGAGTTTTCCTCTTAGCACTGCTTTGTGTCCCATAAGTTTGGATATGTAGTGCCTTCATTTTCATTAAATTCTAAAGGATAATAGACAGAAAACTCCAACATAAGGAGGGAAACTACACCCTAGAAAAAGCAAGAAAGTAATCTTTCAACAAACCTAAAAGAAAATAGCCACACAAGCATAATTTCACTTCTAACAACAAAAATAACAGGAAGCAACAATCACTATTCCTTAATATCTCTTAACATCAATAGACTCAATTCCCCAATAAACAAACATAAACTAACAGAGTGGATATATAAGCAGGACCCAGCATTTTGCTGCATACAGGAAACACACCTCAGTGTCAAAGACATACACTACCTCAGAGTAAAGGCCTGGAAAAAAGTTTCCCAAGCAAATGGTTCCAAGAAACAAGCTGGAGTAGCCATTCTAATATTGAATAAAATCAACTTTCAACCAAAAGTTACCAAAAAAATAAGGAAGGACATTTCATACTCATCAAAGAAAAAATCTACCATAAAGAATTCTTATTTCTCAACATCTATGCTCCAAATGCAAGAGTACCCACATTCATAAAAGAAACTTTACTAAAGCTGAAAGCACACTTTGCACCTCACACAATAATAGTGGGAGACTTCAACACCCCACTCTCATCAATGGACAGATCATGGAAACATAAAACTAAAAAGAGACACAGTGAAACTAACAGAAGTGATGGGCCAAATGGTTTTAGCAGATATCTATAGAACACTTCATCCTAAAACCTTCTTCTCAGCCCCTCATGGTACCTTCTCCAAAACTGACCATATAATCGGTCACAAAACCATCCTCAACGGATACAAGTAGACTGAAATAATCCCATGTATCCCAGCAGATCACCAGGGACTAAGGCTGGACTTCAATAACAACAAAAACAACAGAAAGCCCACATACACATGGAAGCTGAATAGTGCCCTTCTCAGTGAGGAGAACTTGGCCAAGGAAGAAATAAATTAAATGCAGATTCTTTATATGATTTAATATACTTTTGCTTTACTCTCTGCATCTATTTCACTTTCTCAGTGATACTCTTTGAAGCATGAAAGTTTGTTACTTCCCTCCATCTGTCCCTCCTTCCCTCCCTCTTTCTTTCCCTTTTTCCTTCCTTCTTTCTCTCTCTTTTGTGGTGCTGGAGATGCAACCTACAGCCTCACAGATGCTAGGCAAGCACTCTGTCACAGAACTAAGCTATATCCGACACAGCCCTTCTGTTGTTGTTGTTTTGTGTCACAGCCAGGGTTTTGCTATCAAGTTATATCAGGTCCAGAATACTTGGTCCTCCTGTTGTAGCATCTGATGTTATGCCCAGTTCTGGGGAACCCCAGGAGATTTCCAGAAATTGTGATATTGATGTAATAAAGAAAGAAGGTTTTTATTATAGGAGTCTGGACACGTATCACAGTCCTTCCTGCTCTGCCGGTTAGGAAAGGGACGCTTGAGTCTAGGGGTTTGAGACATATATAGGAAGATGCATAAGCTGGGCCTCTTGAGCCCTGGCATTACATGATTGCGTAGGGGGAAAGGAGTGCAGTCCTTCAAACCCGGTAACATTTGTTCAGAGAGGCAGGATCACGCAGCTGGAGAAGGACCCTTTTGACCTGGAAAGAAGTAACTCATTCTGGTTATCAGAGGCCAGCCTCTTTTTTTTTTTTTTTTTTTTTTTTTTTT